CTCTCATAATCATACGGTGGTTTTGGGACGTTAAACTCCACATATCATCATCATCACCACCAACGCCCAACCAGAAGCGCCGCTGGCCGTGATGCCAGAATCCTCCAACGGGGACCCGCCGCTGCGCGTGGTTGCACCCAAGGACGAGCGATGTTGCCACGCATTGCGTAAGACTCGCCAGACTGGAAGGCGCCGATTGCTTCATCGGGCTCGTGGGCTGAGGAAGCTCGCTGTGCGTTGCGTGACAGACCGGCGCCGCCGCTTGATGACGTCGTTGAGTTGATCGCGTCAGGCGGGCTCGATCGCTGGCCTTGACACAGGTTGCTTTTGCAGAAGCATTGATGTTCAATGGGGACTCCCAGGCGTAACAGCACCCCCGCTGCCAGACAATGCGCCGCAAAGACGAGCTGCTTCCACTTGGCGCGGATGTCGGGCGTGCTCGTTCGCCAGGTCCTTCCAGGTTCGCCTCCAGGGCCATGGGGATAATGTAGCTATTGGCTCAGTTCTGTTAACACATCCCATTCTTGAGGACGGATCTCAGCTCCACTCGCTTGTCGCCACAGCTTGTCGGCCAGCTTCGCTCGTGTCTTCTGATGATTTTTGGTCTCAGCACTTGTCGATGGTTCTGCAACTTGTCAAGAACGGTTCGACAACAGACAACACACGACACAAGCAAGTGCCTTCGGTTACCCGACAGAACACCAGACAAAGTACAGTACAACATATACCTAGCTACGTGTCTATCAGAATTTCGTTCCCTCTACATCATGGGGCAATTGTGGGACACAAGACTCTTAAAATGGGAACTCAATTTTTTACACGTACAGCAACGTAAGAAAAAGAATGCAACACAAAGTTGGCCCCTTGAGATCACTCTGGACGAGAGCGTTCAGCTAAGGCCGTGACGAGGACAAAATTGTGCCCCGAATCGCCAGCGAGAAACCGAAAGGTGGAAAAGGTGCTAACTAAAACTCACGGCTCAATGCGTCTGCGTTAGCGTTTAGCTTTCCTTTTTTGTAGCTGAACGTCAAGGTCGTGCTGTTGGAGTATCATGCTCCACCTCAGTAACCGGCCACTTTTAGGCGACATGTTATTTAACCAGGTTAGAAGACAGTGGTCCGTTTCGACCACAAACCTCGTATGGGAGACATAACCGGCTAGCTTTTGAACGGCCCACACGGGGCAAGCGCATTCCTTTTCCGAGGTACTGTATGCCTCTTCCCTGCAGCTGAGTTTTCAGCTTAAATACAAAACTGGCCTTTCGTTACCAGCACTGTCTTCCTGGCACAATACACCTCCCATGCCGCCATCACTCGCGTCGCATTGAATGACAAATCTCTTAGAGAAATCGGGTGCCACGAGAACGTACTTTTCGTTTAGGGCCTGTTTCAGCTTTACAAAACGCATTCTCTTTTTCTGAGTCCCACAGTACTTTAACCGGCTCGGACTTTCGAAGTGCGTCAGTTAGTGGGCTGGCAATGCTAGAGTATACTTCAGCACGCAATGCTGATCGTATCCAGCTAGGCCCAAGAATTCCCTTATCCCAGATTTTGTGGTTGGTCGTGGATAGTTCACGACGGCGGCTACCTTAATTCCTGAAGGTCTACACCGGCCACGCCCCACAACGTATCCCAGGTACGACACCTCGCCGCAGCCTAGGTGACATTTAGTAGGTTTCACTGTAAGACCAGCTTCTTTCAACCTGTTCAGCACGACGCGTAAATGCTCGACATGTTCTTCCGAGTTGTTTGAGAAGATGGCGACATCGTCAAGATACGGCAGAGTGAACTCAGAGAGGTCATTAGGAAGGCGGTCCATTAAGCCTGAAAATTAAAAGGGTGCATTTTCAATCCCAAGCTCAGCTTAAGTGGACGATACGTTCCGAGTGGAGAAACGAATGTGGCATAGCGGCTAGCACGCTCCGTAAGGGGGGCTTGCTGATACCCTCGCACGAGGTCCAACGTGGAAATAAAGCTAGACTGTGACACAGTCTCTACCCTCTCCTCTAGGTTTGTTATCGGGTAAGTTTGGTCTCGAGTTTTGGCGTTAAGACGCCGATAATCGATACATGGCCTCGGATCTTTTCCCGGCAATCGAATTAATACTAGAGGGTATGAATAGTCACTCTCGCCCAGTACTATGACTCCCAACCCCAGCATTTTATCGATCTCCTCTTTCATGATCTGATTTTGCACAGGGGAACATCGATACGGCTTCCTACGGATTGGCTCCTCACAAGTTAGCTCGATATCGTGTTCAATCACTGTCGTATTTCCGGGACGGTTCGAAAACACGTCTTCAAACTCAGAAACAATCCTTTTTAGGTCCTCCTTCTGGACTTCACTTAATCTGGGCTCTAGGTTCAACTGCTCCAAGATTACCTCCGGTCCCCTTTCAATTACATCACTAGAGGCCAAAATTTCTGCTCCCTCTTCATCGGAAGCATTCAAAAGCAGGTTTACGACCGCTTGACGTTGAATGTGTGGTTTCATGAAGTTACTGTGGTAAATTTTGTTCAGCCGCCTTCCTAATTTCACTTCATAATTGGTATCAGAAAGCTTCGATATTACTTTAGCGGGCCCTTCCCAGTAAACTTCAAGCTTGTTCTTTTTGGACGGCCACAGCAGCATTACCTGACTACCTACTTCAATGGTGCGCTTCTTCGCCGTTTCTTCGCCGGTCTTCGCCGGTCGTAGTACTCCTTCGACAACAATTGTGCAGCCTTCATGTGGCTTTTCACAAGATCTTTCGTTTTTCGAAGCCTCTGAAGGAGGTCTAGAACATACGCAACTACATTAGGGTCCTCATCGAATCCCTCCCAGGACTCACGTAGCATTCGCAATGGTGTTCTCAAACTCCTGCCATACACAAGCTCTGCTGGACTAAAAGCAGTGCTCTTATGAGGAGCTGATCTCAAAGCGAACATAGCGGGAGGAATACACGCTTCCCAGTCGCATTTTTGCTCGTAGCAAAGAGCTCTTAGTATCCGTTTCAGAACGGAATGCATGCGCTCTACCGGATTAGATTGCGGGTGATGGATCGAGTTGTGCACTACTTTTGTTCCACATTTATCCAAAAGGTAGAGGTAATTAAGGCAGCTGGTGAAGACACTACCATTGTAACATTGTATTTCAGAAGAAAATCCGAGGCGTGCAAATTGAGCTCCTTAAGTGGCATCGGTTCCGGAAATTTTGTGGCTACACAGAGGGCCGTCAGGATGTGCCGACAACCTTGGCTTGACTCTGGCAATGGCCCGACGATATCAATTACTAGGTGCCGAAAAGGTTCTGTAATAATTGGCACAAGCTCACTCTCGGTTTTCCTTCTCACATTGGTGTTCGTGAACTCTAACGTCACCATAACTGAGAACATCACAACGACGCTATCAAACGTCGCTTATTTGTATGTGAGAGCGTGCGTGTGTGTGTTAGTGTCAGGTAGCACAGTTATTCCTTCTGTGTTTTGCTAAGGATTGATCGAAGTGAAAACTATTCGCGCCGTCGCCAATCTCAGCGACTTCCAGTTCCTCAGTGCTTTATCCATAACTTGTAGACATTGATAGTGGTCGTGGTGGACATACGGCTGCACGTGCGCGCCTAGCAGACGAAATATCAGCTTATAATGGTGGTTATAAAAACAAACCCGAGAAAAAATTATCATAACAGGGCTTCAAACATACGACCTCTCGCACCGCAGCGCGCGGCGCGAAACCACTGGGCTACAAAGCGTACGTGTGCTTGCTAACGGCGAGTCACTTATATACACCATATGCCCTTGGCGCTTTCGGATCTTGGCAACTTCAGCGCGTTTTCGTCATCATTGGGGAGATGGCGCGAAGAGCGAGCGTTGGGCGCACTCTATTGGTCGTCACCTCACGCGTAGCGATGAGCGCGTGCCTCCACAGGGTGTTCCCAGCGCATGCGCTTATCTCGGGGTTCGGCTGTTTTGTACATCTTGTGCTTCCATGGCAAGTTTGCTTTGAAGCTACAGTGGTTAAACAGAGCACGAAGGCACTTCGCTCGCTGCCGCAGCCGCGTTTGGGAAAGGATCGCGCTGCTCACACACGAAGTAGCATTTGTGAGCAGTTCACGCTTGTCCTGTGTATACTTAGGCGTTCGTTTCGTGCGTCTTTTAGTTTAAATTGAGCTGTGACAGTTGTTAGTCCGTGCTCGTCCTGTGTGTGCTCATTTCGTGCGTGCTTTCTGCTTTAGGTGTGCGCTGCAAGTTTCAAACTGCTTTCCGCTCTTCACGTGATCCCCCGTTGTGGCGAAACCATGCACAATAAACACTCAACTTTCTCTCTGAACACACATTTCACTTTCGCGTTATACTGATTCCTAGACAGTGGAATACAACTACGTTCAGTTTTTTTTTATTTTTTGTATGTGTTACTGCATAACATATCTTAGGAAGCTACGCAGCGTAGCTGAAGAAAAAAGGATGTCACTACAGGGCAATTATAAAAGGCGGGAATGACTATTCATTCAATTAAGTGGTATAAAACGCACATGCTTGACCGCAGCGGAGAGTGTTTGTGAGTGGGCTATACAAAGATTTGTTGTACCATGAAATATATCTCTGATGTCAGACTCGCGCTTATTTCTTCATGTTTTGAACTGGCGAAGCGATTTATTTACCTCAATTGTGTCGCGAAACTACTGTATCTCGGGCTTGATATGGTGAAATAATGTAGTAAAATACCTAGTTGCGGGTGTAAAAAGGGGATGCAACGTATCGCAGGATAGAAATGCGCTAAACTTGCTCTGGGCCATGTGTTGGAGCTTCCGAGTCCGATGTCTTGTGATGGTTCTCGCACAACGCCAACAAATATATGTGCCGTCCATAAAAGAACTAAATGCACACAGAGTAAAAGTGGCACCTCTTGCGTTTGGCAGTGCTAATGTTTTTTTTGTATTACTCAAGTAACATCATTGTGAATTAACTTTATTCTTGAATTCCTTCGAAGAAGGCGGTGTCGGTCTTCAAAGCGGGCACTTTCATCAGAGCACAAGACGATCCACTCCTTCCGCGTCAGCGTCCTCGACGGGAGCCTTCCCACCACCACCGGTGCCTCCGTCGGTGCCCATGCCCATCGCGCCAAAATGCTGCAAAGGAGTGACGTCAAAGACCGGAAAACGTGATGCTGCAGTGCATCGAAAAACAGCACGGGAATTGCAGTGGCAGAGTTTGAACGGCAGATTTATAGTTGGCAGAGGTAGATTGTTCACTAGGAGAACAACTGAGGCTTATTACACGCGTTAATTTCACGTCGCATTCCTGAAGATGGAAGGAAAGAAGGTGGTGCTGGTTGTATCAATAGGCGTGCGCACAGCAGAGACGTGTAGCTCGCGCTGAACTCACAACTTCTAGTCATATCAAAGGGGCACTGAGGTCAAGTCCTTGGTGAGCCGAACCTGTCCCGTCATTGTTGAAGGTGCAAGGTTATGGTCATGCAGGATTTTTGGTCATAAGTGGCTGCCAAAGTAGGGCCGCTCTATCCCCCTCTCCCCCCCCCCCCCTGGTTGGTATTGCATGCGTACTTCCCTCTTTTGTAAGGAGCACTTAATCCTTTCATTTGAGTTCAGTGCATCCATCGCGGCTTTTCGTTTCCTTCACACTCGACACATTAGCTTGCGGGGAGGTGCTCCAGTGAAACTTCGCCCCAGTCCTTCACAATGGATAACCACGTGCATTGATAAGGAAGGATAACCTGTAAGAGTTCCTACCTTAGATTTCAGTGAGTGAATGGAGTCAAGGAATGCAAGTTAGCGCCTGTATATAAGTGGTAATTTTGATGGCTGCTTCTTCGAGTACAGGGAGCAAGCATTGCTGGCCCTTGTGCTCGGTGCCTGCACTGCTTGCCTGACCTTATAGCGTGTTTACCGATATGTGTTCCCATGTAGAATATGAATAATAAAATTGAACAAGTGTTTTTGTTAGGGCTGCTATTTGTACTTATGATTTTGTCCAGCCGAGAGCAAAATTACTTGCACATTTAGTTGTCACTGACATTGAGACCCATCTGTTCCCACTCACCTGTGAATTCTTGAAGGCGGTGAAGAGGGTGAATAGGACGTGCAGAGACTGGATCAACTTGCCCTTGTACACCGGGATGTCCATCAGCACTGCATCCAATTGGGATACCAGCAATATTTGGGACAGTCCACCGTCAAATGACGGCCGCGGTATACCCTATATGCGCTGCGGTAGTGGTGTGGCAGATACATTGGCGGGGCGTTTCGGCGTCAACACGAGCCATTCAAAGAATCCCACTTTATGTAAGCCCAAACGTATGGGAGAGAAGTGATAAATGAGGAAGGGGCTTTCTGTGTGGGAGACTTACGACAGGCCATGGTAGCGTATTCCTCCAGGGAGCACTCTAGCTCTGCGGTCGGCACCTGCACCTGAACCGAGAAAGACGATGAAATATTGGATATGTGAATTTCAGACAAATCTGTCACCCAATGTTACGAATTATTATCACTGGTGCAGGAATCAATAATATTCACTTAATCACACCAGTTCTGTTCTGCCATCTTGTTTTTCCTGTCGTTTTGTTTTTATTTTTCGTTTTAGCTTTTGTTAATGTTAAACAAGAAAACCCAGGATTTTCGTGATGATACAGGCAAGCAAAATAACGCAGTTGTTTGCTGCTATTCGGATATCTAAGCAACTGCATTGATCAATGGTCCACTGAACCAATTGTCTGCATATTTATATATTCCAGTCGATCCCGATCGGTTCGATGCCCCTGGCATGCCGCGCTACATTTAGGCAGCTTGCCAGCGCGGCCAGCAGAAGGTAGCGTATAGTCTTAAAGACCTCCCAAACTACCTCCGATACATTTTTTAACATTTCACGTAAACACGTGCGTCGAGTCATGAATACCGCCTAGACAGATAATGCCTAATGCAGCAGCACTATGAACGCGGACGTGTCTCAATATTGAAGAACGATCCCGCGAGCTCCTATCCAGACATTTCGGTTTCCCCACGTTAGTCGTGACGTCATAATGTCACGTCATGTCACATCTCATGTCGGGCGATGACGAGCCGACGAACAAAGCGTAGTGAAGAACGAAAGGAGTGAGAGCCGTGTTTCGATAATAAAAAGCGTGCAAGTCCGCTCTTACGGTCTCATTAAAAAAAGTGAAAATTCGGTTGCGTGTTCACCTCTTTCCAACCGATGGAGAGGGGTGAGCGGTAGGGACTAACAGACCACCATTCCGTTGTTCTGACGACGCACGTGCGCGGGGGTTCAACTTCAAGGCCAAACGCATGCACAAAAACGTTTTCTGGGTTTGTACGTGTACGAGCGGAACTATAGCGCGCACACACACGCACACACACTCATGCCTCAGATCTCCACAACCTCTGCTAAAATAACGGGACATTTGATCTTTTTGAATGTGAGCCTTACCTCGGCTAGCATTTCTTCGAACTCTGGGGGCCACTCCTGCATCAGAGATTCCACATCCGGCATGTTTCTGCGAATATACAAGGCACGAAGACACTAGAATTCTTCTCCTTCATCATCATCATCGTCGTCGTCGTCATCAGCCTGACTACGCCCACTGCAGGACAATGGCATCTCCCATATGTTCCGCCATTCAACACAGTTTTGTGCTTCCTGCTGCCACGTACTACCTGCAAACTTTTACGTGGGTCGTCACTATGTATCTATCATCTTCGTTTGAATTCATACACCCGCCATTTTAATGGCGCATAGAAAAGCAGCCTTCAAATGTATTTTCATGCCTTCAAAAATTGGCTTCGCATTGCTTGCATTGTTTTCGGCCGGGGAAAAACGCACTTATCCGCGATGTGCTTTTCATCAGTCATATATGTATCCTCCCGACTACCTCAGAACTATACTTCACCTCCAAAACGAGAACGCCAGGTGAAAACGTTAAGTATGGCTGGAGCACAAACGTAATAAAGACAGTCTCTCGGATCGCACCAAACAATCAGTGACTGCTGACGAAGGCGCAGAAGCGCGATGCGACTCGTTCCCACTTTCCATCCCGCTATGTAAAGTTTGTGCAGGTGTCCATGAGCGTCGGCAGGATCTTGTTCTGGCGGGTGCAGAGCCGTATCGTATTGCTGCTGGGAGAAGGGTAGTAGCGTTGGTTTCACTTGGTTAGGAAAGGGGGGGGGGCAAAGACTGGCGTGGCTTGTAGGGGGGGGGAGGCAGTGCCCCTTTTGCACACCCCCCTGCAGACGCCCATGCAGGTGTCGTGAGAACCGACCTGGTGTAGTGCACAGTTGGCGGTGGCCTGGCCCTGTGCAGCTCCTGGACGCTCTGGAGCCACAACTCAATCTCTCGGTTTTGTTCCTCCGGCTTATCCACGCTCTTCACAACCTGCACGGAACGTGACCTGTATTAACAGAAGCCATGATTTGCACAGAAGGTATACATGTCCTTCGTTACTCGTTTTTTTTTTCGTTACCCGTCCGTGGTATACGAACATGTGACAGACGTTTCTGGCAGAAATGGTTTGACGACGTACGCGACGGGATTGTGGCATTATTCATGTCACGACCAGAAATATCATATTCGTCAAATGATCTTACCCTGAAATACCAATATAGGTTTACAACAAGTTAACGGTGGTCACCCGAGGTTAACCTTATTCTTCATTTTTTTCCCCTACTTAAACACGTAAGCTCCGCGTGTCGGATTTTCAATGGCGCAGTTTTATCAAAGCTTTCCACAATACGACAGTGATAACGGTACTTCGTTTGGACTTCAATGGGACATGTTACGTTTGAAGCTTTCTCCCGGCTGTCGTCGTCGTCAAGGCGCGCTAGACAGTGGATTCGACATATTTTTGTAGGTATAAAAGCATATGCTGCCCCTATTATGTTGATATTGCAGGAGAAGATATTATATAAGCGTTTAACGCTAAGGAATATAGAAATTAGAAGTTGCACTCAGTCAGCACACAAAGCGCCCATGTCCCTGAAGTTTGTATTCACTGCATGAAGGGTCTGGTGATACATATATGGTGGGAGAGGTGGCTGAGGGTGCACTGATCATAAAAGGAGAGAACGATGAACGAAGGCATGATCGCGCTCCGCGCCGCTGACACTTCAACGAGCGCCATCAGCTAAAGGGCATCATCATCATCATCGTGGCTAAGGCTTAAACAAGTAAAACGTGTTCTTTTGTACCTTGCCATTGTCTCTAAGGGGTTTCTGATCCTGGCAGCCGCCGCCCAGAACTCCACAATATATATTCTCGAAGTTGGAGCTTTCCTATAATAGTGCGATTTCTAAAATCGACCTTATGCGTTGCCCAGCAGATCAACTTTAGTCCGCCAACACGAACGAAGCATCCATAGCAAGTGTGCTACTTATGTTTTGCTCTTATTATCTTGAGAGAGTTGGTAATCATCTCGTCCGAGTTGCTAATACCGAGGAATCTAGCAACTAAAAGCTGTACTCGATCAGTACTTAGCACCATGACACTGAGGTTTTTCATCTGGGGTGACCACCATGCATGAAGGCCCTTGGGTGATATATTATTTTCTATCGATATAATGGAGCTGTTTTGCAAGATATATACAAGCGACCTCCAGAATGAGATCAATTGTGTGCTACACACAGTGCCCCTTTGCTTCTGCGAGGAAAGGAGGACTACTTTCCGGCCTTTCACCGGAAAGTGACCAACAGACTATTGCTCCATGGTGGTCACCTCAGCTATAGTGTACTAGAATATACCTCGGCTGACCACCTCATATCGTTTGAACTAAACCTGCCAATTTTTTTTATTTCTTGTGATAAAATGATTTTCTACAGAAGAGTTCACCATTTTTAAAACGAAACGCTGTTTCTCGCCAAAAATTTCCCATCGCGGCAACGGTGCCTCTTGAGGAATTCGCATAGCAGTGGCGCCAGATTTCCTTCTAGGTATCATTGTGAGAAACTCTATGGTCTCGAGAAGCACGATAACGGCACCCTTTTTCACTTTTTGTCTGGCCATCTCCGTGACTTCACGTGGGGTCTAGGATGGAGAGTACTCCCAGCACGAAATAGACTGGAGAGGTGAGGCATGGCCCCATTTTCCAATTGTCCTGCCGTCCAACTATATCTTTTAGGAAAAGACGGAAACGTAAAAAAATGGGGTGTGGAGTGCACGATAAGTGTCTCTCATGTGAGGACACCTCAACCGATACACTCGTGGGAGAAAGGGGATTGAAAGGAGCGTAAGAGTGAAGAAAAATTAATGTAAAGAGAAAAAAATGTGAGAGGAAGACAAAAAATACGAGGTAAAAAAATTGGGGCGAGGAGCAAGTGAATCAGCAAAAAAAATTAAAAATCGCCAATTTCGAAGCATCATGACACCTATAAAAACGGCGTTGGCTGTGGCGAGGGAACGAGTGATACCTGTTGCGACAGATGGCAAAATTTTTTTATTTACACGTCGTTTTGTGCGGATGTGGTCTGCCAGTATTTATATTCATGTACAGCCTAAAAAATGTAAGCTCCATCCACAGGTACCTTAAAGAATCGCAGCTCGCTCAGACTCGCTTAAGAAATATATCTTGCCCTGAGGGCTGACTAGCTCGGACTGATATTCACCAAAGTTTTCTACCACCTGATCGGACTCACTCGAATTCAGATTCCTTAATTTTTTTTCTCAACATTATTGAAACTCACCGATACCTTTCAGTGAACATCCTGACTCGCTCAGACTCGAGGCTCACATGCCTCTTCACCAGCGAAAGGCAGGAGTGCTAGCTGATTCCCGATAGAACCATAAGTACCAATTCTCAGCTAATGTAAATACTTTGTATACTAAAAGCTATCGGTTCGCCGTTACTACTTGAAACGCTCTGCTTGGCTGTGAAATGATGTGGGAATCCCTGACAATGTTCACCAGGACGTTCAAGCTTCTGACCCAGAACCGGCGACACGAATTTGTTCCTGCATAGCTACTATCTGAAATAGTGGAAACCTGCTCTACGTCACGACAATGTGTAAGCGTCATTGTGTTTTCTCACGCGTGAAGCTTGTCTTTCGGCCCGCCTGGTTTTGGTAGGTTGATATCTCTTCAGTACAGGCATAAATGCTATTTAAATATGCAAAATGTACATGTTCGCGTTTTATTTGTGCATTTTGTTTACCGTGTAATGTGCATATGTATACATATCTTTTTGTGACAAACCTTTGTGTCTATGCATGTTCGGTTCTGTTGAAATGTTAGTGATGTCCACTGGTTGTGAGAATAGATTTCTCTAAACACCTTATTATCTGTGAGAAGGACAGCGATGATGCAGCTGATTCTTCAAACCTTATGAACAGATATATCGTAGAGTTTCCTAACGTGTGAAAGTAGATTCAACTCACGGCTTTGCTAGTAGTCGCTAGTCTCGCGTCCCTGGAGAGCGCACGCAGCCTCAGGGTCAGTATGGAAGGGTCCGACTGCTGAGCGCTAGGTTCGTCCAGCACGCGAAGGCCAAGCTGGACGCTGTCCGCGCGGCCGTCCGGACGGGGCACCTTGAGGAAGGCGTCAATGTCGCCCACAGCTGGTATGAGCTCGGGTACGAACGGCCGCAGCTCCTGGTCCAGCTCGACCGTCTGGGGCGTGTACCTGCGAGCAGCCGTTATGCGAGCACGCACGAAGGATGACATAGGACTGACGGCAGAGTTAGGATTGTATGATATGACAGTCGCAACTTCTCGAGCATGCATCCAGCTGGAAAATTGTGTCTACGGAGGGCCGCAAGTTCATGGAGATAGAGGGAGCAAAACATTATAAACAAATTACTTCTAGATTATCTATACCTAGAAGAGTGGTGACTTCCCTAGGCTCACTGAAGCTACTAAGTTATGGTCACTCAATGCCCTTGAGTGTGCATGTAATGCATTTCGAATAAATAACTTAAGATGATGATGTGTGGTGTTTTATGAAGCAATGAATGCGATAGCAAATGACGAATTGGAATGTTATACAAAAAATCGCGATTAGCCAATTCCTTAATATCTTACGGGATCAAATCCCGGCTGCGACGGCTGCATTTTCGATGAAGGCGGAAATTTTGTAGGCCCGTGTACTCAGATTTGGGTGCACGTTAAAGAATCCCAGGAGGTCGAAATTTCCGAAGCCCTCTACTACGGCTTCTCTCATAATCATATGGTGGTTTTTGGGACGTTAAACCCCACATATAATATAATAACTCTTTAGTATCTGATCTCCAGTAACTTCACAAAACGCCGTAGTAACGGGATGTGGTCGCTCCAGTGTGCGAAGTGGTTCTCGTTCTCTCTGTCATCTGTGCGGTAAGAGCATGGCACGTAAAAGTGTGGGAGCCGCCTACCTACGTCCATCGATATACCGCGCTCGACACTGACGTACCTTACGAATAAATTTCGCAGTTGCTTCCCGAGCGACGCAGCCCTCTATCAGCATTCGTGTATGCTCCTTGGATTGGCGGAGCCGGCCGATGCGTTTCGCCTCTGCTTGAGTGGTGCCCGTTGGTAGTCTCTACAAGATTTCACTCGCGCGTTGCACATATGACGGGCGAGGCAATGTTATCAATTTTGACTTTGTACGGAGCATGACGGCGACGACGAAAATGCACCTCGACGCCCTCGAGTGTTCTGTAACCTGTGAGGGCGCAGCGCGTACAGGAGTGTGCTTGCCGCCTCCTGATGTATATCCAGAGACACCACTCTCGTGACCACGGCCATACGATCGAAAGTCAGGGCTGCTGCTCGAGCGACGCAGCTCCTCGTCGTTCACGCTCCTTCATCTGGCAAAAGACGAGCAGGGCGTTTTCCCTCTGCTTGAGGAGACAACGATGGCAGGCATCGCACGCGGTGTGTTATCGCATGCGCCGTTCATGTGAAGGGGGTGAACGGTTAGCCTTGTCTGCTTCAACCGCACTCATCGGCAGAGCTCGCGGGCTTTTGCTCCCATCAATAACGTACAAGGCGAGAAGCGATGTTATCGATTTGGAATTCATGGGGAACATGATGGCGACGAAGAAAATTGGCGAAGCTTGTACTAAACCGAGCAAGGTTTGAAACAGCAAAACTAAACGATTTCTAAGAATAATCTGGTTGCTTCTAAGCAGGGCCGTACCCAGGAATTTTCGGGGGGTTGTGTTTTTGTGTGGAATGGCTAACTTTGGCAATTCGTGGTCGATATTAAGGCGTGTACTTTAGTATGACACGAAGTGTTCAATAATAAAGAAATTCGAGGGTGTTGGAACCTCCTCATGGAACCTCCTCAGTTCATGGTTGTAGGTTATTTCTAGTCCTTAGCTTAGTGATGCAGATTGTTTCTAAGTTGCTTCCAAGTCGTCTCCAGGCTTTAACTGGTTCATGTCAGGCTGTTTGTACATTAATTCTCAGCGCAGAGAAGTTCGAGTTAAACCACACACAGTCACAGACATGACAGGGGCACACCGTCGTCAGCGTAGGCCTTTGATCGCTTCGGGGTCTTCTTGCAGTCACCGTTACATTACGTGTTACTGCCCTCGTTGTAAGTACTCAGGGTTTTCAGCTCGTCGCTATCGCTTCACACGTCATTTGTTGTAGGGTTAATTGCTGCCTTCTTTACTTTTAATGAACCTGCAGCGATGAATGGTGGGATTAACCCAAATTCTGGAGTGCATATATATCCCTTACGGAAATGTAATATATGGCCACATTTAAATTACATGGGGTCGTATATTAGCATAGATGTTTGCATATGTGGCTACCGTTTCCCATATATGAATGTAAATGGGGCTATATACGGCGTGATTGCCTCATATATGGAGTTAAATACAGTCATATAGCACAGTTGGTCTATTCAAGGAGTCAAATTCAGCTATATCTGACATGGCCACAATATATATGACATCAAGTAGATCCTAGTATGGGGCAGTGGCGCCATCTAAGGGAAGAACAACATATGTGAGGATGACAGTTCTTTGGTTTGTCGTACAAGGAATGATTTGCTAAATGACTTCCCTGTTACAACCCCCAGGTATTGTCCATAATTTACTATTGAACCAAATAAGAGTAAGAGAGACTATAGTCCCTCGAAAGACGCAGTTGGATTCCTCAGTCCGAACCTCCATATGCCTTCAAGTCGTCTTAGGTGAATGCGTATATTAGGCGCCAAGAATTTTTGCGGCATGCTCATTTTGTTTGGTCGTACTTCCTTGAGGCTGCTCACCTTGTGATGAATCCAAAGATTTCCTTGATCTCAGTCGATACCGTCAGGGAGTCGAACTCTGTCGGGTCGTAGGCCCTGCATTCACATCAAATTATGCAGGTCACATCAGTGAAGGAAACACTTTCATTTACAATTAAGTCAATGCTAAGCTGAATGTGTCACCTCGTGGGAAAAAGTGCACTTTGGGAAGCATTGTTAGTAAGAAAAACATATTGTCAATTTTTCTTTCTAGGTCAAGACTAATGATTAGTTCTGAAATACTGATGTGATGCTCCCATTAACAGTAGATGATGATGACGATTAAAACTTCATTTTGGTTCAGAGAAGAAGCAGTGTAGACCCCGCGCCACCCAGCTATTCTCAGGTAAGGACTGCCGAACCGAGCTTGGTGCTAGTTTCTATTAGTGGGAGAGGTTTAAAGAACGGGATAAAGTGTCATCGTCTACGTCTTCTTTCGGGTACATTCACTATATCCGCTCAATATTGAGCGCTGTAATAACACAAGCATAGCGAAAGTATGATCAAGGTGCTGACGCACGACACGCGCCATGGCAATGATACGGCCGAAAATAAGTCCGAAGTCGCGTCCAACAAGAAGATAATCAATGAAGCGAAAGGAAAAAACAGTTCGGCCCGAAAGGCGCGTCTCTGGCTTGCTACTCCTCGCGGCGGTAAGGAAAAAAGCAAGGGAAATAGAAAGAGTGCGGAGCAGTGCAAGTCGCGGGCTCAGAACGAAGGACACAGAAGGGACACGTGTGTGTGTGTGTGTCTTTTGTAAGTGCACACACATGCGTGAGGGTTTCGGAGGCTAACCTCCGTATTCACAAACGCTCCTCGACTCGACTTTCGCCCTTCACTTGACAGAGTTGAGAACTTCGCCACTGCTCGGCTGAAAATGGTGCTGCGCTGCTCAAAAATCACAGCAGGTTATCGCTGATATGCAGTGACTTTCCCTGCCTAGAGACGGCGCTCCCATCGGCTTCCTCAAGTGAAGGGGAACCTTTGGGGGAAGGGACGTTCTAGAATACGGGGTTAAACACCTGTGTAATGAAGAGTCAGTCGCGAGTGTGCGCTTGTCCGTGTCACTTATTCGTCCTTCGACGTCGATCTGCGCCTACGATTTCCGCTGCACCTATGCCCCAACTATAGCCCGTCAGCAGACGTAATTGAGCATAGTGCTATGAGATTCTGTACATAAACTGCACCAGAAAGTAGGTATAGCGTGCGTAAATACATCACGAAGCACTGTATTTACTAGATTGTAAGAGTGACTTTTGATTGTATTTTGAGAAAAAAGAATTGTTTTTTGGGCATTCGATTGTGACGATAAGGTCAATGTGAAGTAGCAAAAATCTGGAGGAGTAAATCGCATTACATTCGCTAAATGCGGTAAGTACGATATAAAAAAGTGAGAGGTAAATCACAGCGAAAGTTCGTACATGAAAAGACAGCAAAAGTTAAAACAGCGCTAAAGTTCGAAAAGAAAAAAGAAGAGAAAAAATGCGGTAGAATTTACAAAGAAGGTATACGCCGGGACTGATGAATCAGTTTTCTGTCGTGATGCAAGCTCATTACACCAAGCATAAGACTTGAAGCTCAAGGAAATAAATGAAAAATAAAATGAAAGTTTAACGACACGTCAAAGATCCTGCGATTGCAGCTCGAAGTATTAACATAAAAATATCCTGCGCTCACGTCGTTCTTGTGTTGGTCTTGGGGTGGTTATAAAATCTGCGCCCAAGGCACATTGAAAGCCGTGGAAAAGCGTAGCACGGGCGAACGAGCGATTTCCTTGGGAACAGCGCGTTTGCCACTGCCTCGGCAATCGCGAGCTTGCCGAGACAGTGGCGCGGCGCGAATGCCAGCCGGGCGTTTGAGAGGCACTTTAGCGATTCTCTGGTAAATTATGGGGAATATTTTTTTTATTTCTGTATTTTACGATATATTAGACCTCGTTGGATTATTTCGCGCTGATTTTGAGAATTGTTGACCTCATTTAAGGGCTAGGTTCGACCACCGCGTCACCATTCGACATGAAACAACAATCAGGGCCCGTAAAGGGCTACACACTCTGAAATATGCAATTAGGAGCAATTAACTATGCGCACCCTTCAACGGTGATAACCGGCTCATCCTCGTCTTCGTCCTCGGCGTCGTCCTCTTCGTCGTCGTCTTCCTCGTCCTCCTGTTGCCGGATGAGCTGGTCCTTCTTCGGACTGACGCCGCCGCCATGATTCCCTGGCACTGCTTCTGGTTTGGCCTGCTTCCGGAACGGGTTGAGCATGGAAGCCAGCAGGCCCGGCTTGCCCCCTGTGCCGCCCGCCTTGTCCTGCGTCGCGAAAAGAACAACGCATTAGTGTGAGAGGGGAAAAATCACAGGGTTTCTAAAGCATGCACCTACGATGACTCGAAAGCGAAACCCGTCTTGATGTCAAGTGATGTGATGCCAAGATGACGCCACAACATTTGGCGTTATGTTACGGCATAGTGACGTCATCGGGTGGTGCTTTTATTTTTCTCTTTTTTCATCTCGGGTGTTGACGCTACCACCGCGGGACGCCGGGTGATTTTCGCGCCCGATGAGGTATATAAAGCTTTCGACACCTTCGATAACCGTAACTTACAGCGATACCTGCGATACAGATCTGATGTGCTCTTAGAGGATAAATCGTAGGGATGGAAAGGTTGGGAGGTTAACCAGTCCAGGAAGGCCGGTCTGTTCCCCAACACGTGGGGATGGGAAGAATGAAAGAAGTAAAGAAAAGAGTGGAAGGAGAAAGAAAGATAACACATACCACAGCACACACGCAAACATGCATTCGGTTACATGCATTCAGATGCAGTCGCTTGTCTATATTAGTTTTTCTAAGAAACTTCAGGAGTTCCTTGGTCGCCTTTAGTTGCGATGTCCTCTCAAGAATACATTCAACCGATATTCTTCTACTGTGACGGTGCTCTTGAACAGACGCCAGTGACTGTGAACATCATATATACTGAACAGTCACACAGTATGTGGCGTAGCACCTCGTCGCAACGACAGGCATCGCAGCGAACGTTTTCCACCATCCCAATACGAAAGTAATAAGATTTCGGGAGCGTCACACCTAACTATACAGGATAAAGCAGTGTAGCATCACTTTGGCGGAGTCCATTTCGCACATGGATCTTCATAAAAAAACGCAGGCTGCGTTGATGTATGGTGGCTCGTTGATAATTGGTCTGGTTGGTCAGGCTGCTTGGCGGGCGCCATAAAGATGGAGTGATCTCTGCAGTGCAAGCCTTCGAAGAATGCTGGTGGCGTCAGACCTAACTTAGTGATATCGCTGCTGATATTTTAGAAATAAAAAACTCAAAAACACAAACCAACCAAAGGCTAAGCGCGATAGACAAGAAAGATTAGCGGTTTTGAAAAACAGGTTTCAGAGTGCGTAAAAAAATAGCTATTCTAGAGGACAATCTTCAAGCCGTTACAAAAAAAACTTGATGAACTAGAAAACAAAAGCCGTAGGTCTTACCTCATCATTTATGGTGTAAAGGAACAGCCGAACTAGTCCCCAGAAACATTGCAAAGTGTCGTACCGAAGGAAATATTTGAGGGCATACTAAAAGTAAATACCGGCGATATAGAAGAGATTTACCGCCTAGGAAAACAGTCTACTGGAGATGGTAATAGGATCAGGCCTATTATTTTGAAATTCTTGAATAACCAGGACAAAACGAAAATATTCAAAAACTGCTCTAAACTGAAAGGTTCGGGTTACTCAATTAGTGACGACTTCTCCCGTACCATGCGAGACCTTAAGAAGAAACTCTGGGATATAACTAAAGAAAATCGAGACAAAGGTGAAAAGGTGGCGCTAGTTCATGATAGAGGGAGCATTATTAGGAAACTCTACGGCTGGGACAACAATCGTGGTGATCTTGTTGCTTTATCAAAAAACTAAAGACGTCTGCTTCCGGCGGGTCGGGTCACCAGAAGCCGACGCAACTGACGTTACTTAACGTTAATGCGCGAAGTCTTGTGAACAAAGCCGACCAGCTTGAGGCCATTTTGATCGCCAATCAGCCAGACATCGTCACTGTCTCAGAAACTTGGCTGCACAAAGAAATATTGGACCGCGAAGTTGTTTCGCCTAACTACGTGATTGTTCACAAAGATAGAGAGCACAGAGGGGGGGGGGGGGGGGCGTTGCCATTGTTTTACGACAAGGCATAAGCTTTTCAGTCATGCCAGATGTTCCGGACGTCGAAGCGGTCTGGTGTAGGGTTTCCCTAAATGGTGTCACTATATCTATTGGTGTGGTATACAGACCCCCGCAAGCGCAATTGGCTTATCTGGAATCTTTATATGACTACATGCACAACCATGTGACCAGTGGCGCTGCTATCATGGCCGGTGACTTCAATCTGCCCGATGTAAATTGGGAATGTCTGAGTACAGGAACAGCTAAGAATGACATTTTAAGCGATTACCTTTTGTCATTTAATCTCACACAACTTGTTGCCACGCCAACCCGTGAACAACGGGAGTCTAGTTCTTTACTAGAGCTTATCTTTGTCAGTGATCATTTCCCATCAACGGGTATCTTAACGGAAACCCTGAAGGGGTTATCTGATCACAAAATGGTTTCATGCAGTCTGCCTGTACAATGCCCCGCTCTCATGCGAGGGCCGGTTAAGTCTGTCCCGGCGTTTCACAAAGCCGATGACGCTGCAGTTATGACGTATTTAGAGCATGAATTCTACGACTTTCTCGATATATGTGCTGATGAGTCCTTGATGATTGGCATAATTTGGGCTAAATTTAAAGCTATTATTACTCATTGTATGACCAAATTTGTTCCACAGGTTGCAAAAGTCACAAAAAAACACAACCCTTAAATCACACGTGACATCATTCATACTAAACGTAAAATAAAAAGACTAAGAAAATCTAACAAATCAAGCCCAGTCGACTGGTTCCAAGAAAAAATAGCTTGCTTGTCTCGGTCATTGAGAGTAAAAATTCGTAGTGCCAAAGAGAACTTCTGCAGCACAACACTAAGTAAGTTTACAAGAGAGTTGCCCCAGAAGTT